AACAGCAGAGCAATTAGCAGAGGGCCGCTGACCCTGGACTGCAAAGCTAGAACACGCAGGGCCTTGCATCCCACTGAACAGCCCGAGGCCCTGGCCCCCAGTCCTCTGATCTCTTCCAAGTCCCCAGATATAAGCAGTGATGCCCTGGAGAGGGTGATGCCTGGGGGCTCTCTCCAGCCCAAGGGTGCAGGGCTGAGGTCCTCGGGCTCAGCTCTTAGACCTGGTATTGCACCCTGCCCAGCCGCTCCACAGTCATCCGGCTTCAAGCTGAGTGGCCTCAGCTCATCTGTAAATCCGCTAGCACCGGCCCTTCTCTGAGATGGCAAAGTTCTGCTGTGGGCTTTTTCTCCTCACTTTATTTATTTATTTATTTATTTATTTTATTTTTGAGACGGAGTCTCGCCTCTCGCCCCAGCGCTGGATAACAGTGGCCAGATCTCAGCTCACTGCAAGCTCCACCTCCCGGGTTCTCCGCCTTCCCCTGCCTCAGCCTCCTGAGTAGCTGGGACTACACGGCGCCCGCCACCTCGCCGCTACTGATTTTGTATCCTTTAGTAAGGACAGGGTTTCACTTGGTGTTAGCCAGGATGGTATCCCATCTCCTTGCCTTCGTGATCCGCTCCGTCTTGGCCTCCCACAAAGTGCTGGGATTACAGGCTTGAGCCACCGCGCCGCCTTCACCTCACTTATAGGTGAGCGAAAATAAGATGCCATTGAGCCAGCGCAGACTCCCTCACAGCACCCACCCCCCCCCCCCCACCCCCCCCCCCCCCCTGGCGCTGCCTCCTGGGCTCGCTGCTTTGCAGGGATACTGAACCACTTTCTTCTTTTCTTTTTTTTTGATGATGGAGTCTCACTGCGTGCGCTCAGTGCGGATGCAGTGGCTCACAGGCAACCTTTTGCCTCCGGGGTTCAAGCGATTCCTCCTGCTCGCCTCCCGAGTCGTGGGATTAACAGGCACCCGCCACGCACATCCTGCTAATTTTTCGTATTTTTAGTAGAGACAGGATTTCACCATGTTGGCCACGGCTGGTGTCCGAACTCTGACCCAAGTGATCTGTGATCTGCCCACCTCGGCCTCCCAAAGTGCTAGGATTTACGGCGTGAGCCATGTGCTGGCCCCACTTTTTTTTTTTTTTGGGGATGAGAGACTGGTTT